TTATTTAAATATTTAATTTAACCATTAAAAACAATAGTTTACAGATTTACAAGTAGCTAAAATTGTAGGTGCTTTTGTTATTGATAATAGAACTACAGGACCTGATATATCTGATCCATATCAAGATGAAGTTAAATACCCAGTTGCATATATTCTATTAACTGAAGCTCAACATTTGTTAGACAGAGCAGTAACTAATAAACCATTGACTTTAGATTTTTCTGATAAAAAAGGTTATATTATAGAAAATAGTTTTGGTTCAGTAATGTCATATTTTAGTTCTTGGGGATTAACCCCTACTCTAGATATTAAGGTAAACTTTAATTAATAATAATAATTATATATATATATATATATATATAATTTACTAATATTATATACATGTATGTTTATGTTTATGTGTAATGTTTCTTTAATTAGCCGGTGAGTAAACTTTAATTAAATCTTTTTATTTTTTATTTTTTTTAAAAAAAAAAAAAGTTTATAAAAAATATATTTATCATTTTACTTTAATGTAATAGGAAATTGTTGCGCCTGGTGGAGTAATGTTTTCTACATACCCTTTACCTTTTGGTAGTTATCGTTTAGATTCAGGAACAAGCATGGTAAGTAAAACACTTGAAATATTTAACATAATCAATCAAAATCTGAAACTTCTAAACTTTTAAAATTTCTAAAATAAAACAGGCAACGCCATACATGGCAGGATGTGTTGCATTATATTTATCAGCAACTGGTATAAAACAACCAACTTTAGATGTGAGAAATGCATTTATGAATTATGCTAGACCACTCAAATTTCCATCTGGAACTGTTGTCTCACCAGTTTTACAACAAGGCACAGGATTAGTTAATGTCTTTGATACAATACTAGGCAAAATATTGATATCACCATCAAAATTAACATTGAATGATACATTAAATGGAATTAGTAATAAGGATTTGAATTATATTGAAAAGAATTTAACTGTCAAAGGTTTAAGTGAATATCAGGAAGTGTCATTTATAGTGATACATGAACCTTCTTACAGTTTAAATGGTTATAATGGCACAACAATATTGGATAGTAAAGATTTGGTTTACAGTGATGTGGTTGCTAATATTATAATTGAACCTAATATTTTCACAATTACAGATCAAAACAACCTCAATATCAATCTAAAAATTACACCGCCAACCATTAATGATGCAGGCCATTGGTTTTATAATGGCTTTATTAAATTTGTACCAAATATTACTGATTATGGTAACATCACAATTCCATATGGTAAATATATTTTATTATTGTTGTTGTTGTTTTTATTTTAAAAACCAAAATTTAATTTAATTAAATAAAAATATTTTTTTAGCTGGTTTAGCAAGTTCAGCAAAAGATCTACCAATATTTCAAAGTCCAGAATTTCCTCTTATTCAAGCTCCACAAAATCCAATATTACCACCAAACTATATATTTACAATGACATTTAAAAATCTTCCTCTATTGAGGGTAATATTTTCAACACCTACCGCACTATGTTATGTAATTATATTTAGTTCAACAACATACCAACCTTTAGGCATTTTGACAAACAATGACAATCCTTTTATTATAAGTGGTGAAAATAGATTTGTCACAAAAACAAGAAAAACTAATCCATTAGTTAGAAGTTGGGAAGGTGACTATATAGAAGGAAGTTTTGGTGATGATGGACATTTCGTTCCATCAACCACTGCTGTTAATGGTGTACAAATACCAAATGGTGATTATTATATACAATTTAGAGCTTTAAAGTTATTTGGAGATACTAAGGTTGTGGGTGATTGGGAATACTGGAATTCTACTTCTTTTAAGATTGAAAGATCCGCAACTCCCTGATTTTTTTTTTAATATTCAATGTTGTAATTTAATAATTGGAGGTATACTAAACATTGTAAAAGTTTCAGGGACCATAATTTATTATGAAAAAGTAATTAATAATAAATAAAGAAAAACATTATTTAAAAACGTTACACATTAAAGGCAATGTTTGTTTTTACTTGATTTTCATCAATGTACATAATCATACAAATCCTTCATTTAAAACACTTTACAAAAATTTAAAATTTGATTTGTAAATCTTACTCGGAGGGTAAGATTAAATAAATTTTGATCGACGAATTTACCAAATTTTTAATTCCTGAGGACGCCATTTTGTTACATATGTATGTAATAATACCAAAAATAGAAATTTCTGATCCTGATTACTATTATTACCTAGTAAGTAACAGGAATAGAACACGTTCACTTTGTTGCCAAGTTTATTCGATACACCACGGTTAATTTTTTTTGTTGTTTATCGCAAATATATATCCGAGAAAAAAAAAGTTCTTAATATTAAAATTAGAGATTGACACTAGTACTAATATTAATACTATGTAAAAATTATTTGACCGATCAACTAACTGAAATATTTAATTATTTAACCAAAAGGTGATTTGAAAGAATTTAGATAGGCAATAGTTCTTGTGTTATATTTTGAATAAAGTCATAGTTCTATCTTTTATCTATGAAATATATTTTTCTGATGTTATTATCATTTCTATTGATTTCAAAAGAAATAGTTGTTGTCGTCATACAAAGCTCCTAGTGGATGAAAGAAAAGAGAGACATTGAAGGCGGAAAAAGATTTGCAGAGTCCGTAATGGTAATAATAATGACACACGCACAATACAAAGTTATAAACCTTTCCGATTCAATCATTTGATCAATTCATTAGTCAAATCAACATTTTTATTTATCTGTGATAATCAAAGCATCTTGTTAAACTAGTCGAACACTATCTTTGATTAATTATGGAATTGTATGAATTACTGCAATCAGCATGATAAAGGAAAGATTGACATGATGATCTTTAAAAAAAATGGTGCTGAAACTCAAATTCCGAATTTGATTAAAAAATAATATAAATAATAATAAGTTAATAAAACATCTTTACTTGCTTTCCTGCACGAATTACTGTACAAGAATAAAGAAAATGCCACAAAGAATCTTGAAAGAATCAATTGAACCTTAAAAATTGACAGAAATTAAGCGAGAGGAAGTGTAAATAAGATAAAAATGAAATCGTATTAGAGGCATTTCGATTTCGAAAACTAGCACTAGTGTATTTTTTCCGAAAGTTCGAATAATCGTCACATGATTTTAGTTACTTTTTTTAGAAAAAAACTTGTATTTTCATTTATTATTTAATCACGCTTATTTAATCTAATAATATTAATAATATATATATATATACACATTACAAAATCAATAATTTAAACCCCAACAATAGAGGACAACAAAAGAGAAAGTGAAAAGAAGAGATGGACTTTGAAAGAATTGGATCATAGATTTAGTGGCACTGCTTTTTTTTGAATCGACAACGTTTATATCAGCACAACTGTACCAAGTTGTTAAGCCATCTGTTGACTTGTAGACAGCCTGGAGCACACCTTTAGTGCCGATTGTTGCATTGGCTTTTGCAAGATCAACTGTTGATGTAATGTTCATTGGTGTTGTTTCAACGCTAACGTTTTGAACGTCTATAATTACCGGTAATAATAATATAAATCATGATAAATAAAATATATAGATAAAGATACATGTAAATATATATGATAGATATGTCACCTGCTACTGAAATATTATTATAATTGAACGACAAGGTTCCCACTCCATCTTCAAAAAGAGCTGTAGCCAGGCCCTCTAAAAAAATCAATAATTCTCAATAACACTGGTAATAATTATTTCTTTTGGTAAAAAAAAAAACTTACTAAGTGGAAAATCGGTAGCTTTAGCGGTGTTAACGGTATCAAAACCACCGCAAGGAGCAACAGTGGCATTGTCTTCATTAATACCTCTAGGTGGAGGATTCACGAGCGAAAAGTGAGCATCAACTTCATTATAAGAACCGAAGATGAAGATTGCGAAAAATAAAACAGTCATAAAAAGAAAAGAGTATCTTGTGTTGGCGTTGAAAGAATTCATAATTATTTGATTTTTAATTATTTTATATTATTAATTATTAATGTTTCTTTTTTACAAGAAAATAATAATTATAACAATCCCATGACCATATTTATATTTATATTCATTCGCATACTATCAATCGCCAAGTAAAGATTAGGTTCAGATAATCTTCAGATAAAGTTACACCAATATGTTTTTCGTAATCATAAGAAGTCTAGATTCAAATATTTAATTAACAATATTAAATATTAAGGTTTATTATTTGTTATTGGATTAGTCAATGTTTTTGTGGCGCCGCGTAAATCTACCCATTTCCAAAAGAAGCGATGATTTCCAAGATTCATGGTTACATTCTGCAAGAGAATACTCGATCGGTAACGATAAGGTTCAATTATCATATAATAATATAAATTACATCCTTTGAAAATACTTCTTTACTCAATTAATTCCAGTAAATGTTTCGAATATATTAATATTATATCCTTTGAAAATACTTTTTTACTCAATTAATTCCAGTAAATGTTTCGAATATATTAATATTATATGTGTGGGTCAACGACATTGTTGGTTAAACTGATAAATTCACTCTACTTAATATAGTCCATTTTTCACCGAAATTCATCCGCTAATTAATGAAAGAATCTAATAAAAGAACACCGAAATTTGTTTATATCCAAAATATCATTTGTTAGTAATTTAACTTCCCAAATAAACTAATTATCTAAAAGGCTAGGATCGAGAACTTGAAACCATAATAAAGTTCGCTGATAATTCCTTATCTACCCGAATCATTTTATTTGCCGTGAATTTCTTCTATCCATATAATTATGTATTTGGAAATTTTTTATATAAATATTGCAACATTGTCCTATAGTGTACAAAAATAAATAAAAAACCGTATTTCGTCATTCATATTAATTTTCTTGGAAAAAATTTTTTTTCCTCCACACAAAACATTTTCTTAATTGAAACTTTGTTTTTTCTCAGTAATATACTCCATATTTTTACTTTTGCGCACTCAAAACATAAAAATATGAAATTGATAAATTACATTTTTTTATCAACTACAATTTTCCTTTATTATTTCCCTAATTATGTAATTGGTCATGGTGGTATTGATGACGGCGATGGGGGAAGCACCAATAGTGGTAAGGAAGCACCTTCTGTATTCATTGATGACAATCAAAATAATGGTATACTAGCAAGTGGTAATGTTGGACTTGGATTTGGATTGACTGTGATGGCAGCGCTTTCGTCAGCTCTGGGATCGATGATACCATTTCTTGATTTGGTATTTCCCTTAATCCCATTTCTAAAAGATTTTCGAATCACTAATTCAAAAGGATTCCTTGCTGGCTCCTTGTCATTCTCATCCGGTGTCTTGTTATTTCTTACTCTAGGTGATTTATTTACCGAGGCTATTCATAATTTCGCTGATTCAAAGTTGTTTGATAAAAAATTCGCTTATTTGGTGACAGTTGCTGTTTTCATCGGGACAGTTTTGATTATTATGCTGTTCAAATCTTCTTTAATATACATAAGAAAAAAACAAAAAATTGTGTGTTATTGTGATCCGAAAGCAACTGAATGTCGATGCGATGTTAGTGAGCATGGTAATCTTGCAATAGATGGATTATGTGCTTGTTTTGAGAAAGGTCTTGTCAATCAAAATAAAAAGATTGATGATGATAATGAAAATAAAAAGATTGATGATGATAATGATAGTAATGATACTACTATTAACAATAAAAATTCTGCAACTATCCAAGTTCTTGCTGATAATGACAATGATGAAAAGGTTGATGATGATAAAAGTGAGAATAAAATTAAATCAATTTTAGTCGAACCTTATGAAGCAAAAAAATTAAAAAATCTTGGTATTCAAATTGCTATCTCCCTAGCAGTCCAGTAAGTTTTTCATATTTAAAAATATTTTATACATATAAATCTATATTTATATATTTATGTATAATAAATTGATATTTATTCCAGTAATTTTCCCGAAGGTTTAGCAACATTTGCAACAACAATCACTTCAGCTCGTATCGGTATATTGTTCGGAATAGCACTTGCATTCCAGTAAATATCCTAATATAATTTATTTTTCGCCTTTAAATTATTTTAAATTTTAAATGGGGATTTTTTTTTTGTAGTAAAATACCCGAAGGATTTATGATTGCATTACCAATATATTATTCAACGAAATCAGCGTGGAAATCTTTTATAGTCGCATCATCAGTTGGTATGCTTTCACAATTGTTAGGCGCGGTATTTGGTTATTTGTTGTTTGTCACGTTTTGGAATTCGGCAGTATCTGGATTTTTGTTTGCTAGTGTGAATGGAACATTGTTATACACCATCTTTCATAGCATGATGCCTTTGGCTCGTCGTTATGATCCGAGTGATCAGTATTGCACATATTGGTTCTTTGGTGGTTTGTTCTTTTTCTCTACAGTTGCCTCTTTATTTTCTATAGGTGGTTAAAAGACTATTATTTAAAAACCTCATTTGAAAAAAATAATTATGTAATTTATATATTTTATTAATATAAATATTTTATCATCATTTTTGTATATTAATGTTATTATCAACAATAAACACTACTGTATACACACAAGAAATCGTTAACTCGTCATAATCTTCTTTTATAATTTGTAGGATAGGATTTGAATTCAATTGTTTCATTGAAATCTTATCATTACATCTTTATCGAAAGAGTTGGGTTATATATTTATATTTGGGTTTGTAAGAAGAAAAAGAAAAAAAAAAGTGACCGATCGAGTCGAACTGTTTGCATCAAAACATAAAAAATCACAAACAATCATATCGTTGGATTGTAAAATAAAACAATTTTTCGCTATTGAGAATTCTTCAAATGTTCGGATTGATGACTAATCTTGATGTTTACCAATGTGATTGGTAAATATATATCGTGGGAAGATGATGGATTTTCGCTATAATTGAATAGATATGTCATCGTTATATCATTATAAATATTTCATCATTGAATTAAATATATATATAAATATGTACATGTGAAAAAAAAAAATTACTTTCTTTCTCTTTTCTTCTCATCAAAATGTTAAGCAAATCAATCGATATGATGTTAAAAAGCTTAGAGGATGCAATCAATAATGGCGACGGTAAAATAGTAGGGTGTGATCCGAGTGATTTTGCCAAAGATCATTATCATATTCGCATTGAGATGCCAGATGGAACTATAAAATTATTTCCCAACTTGGATCAACGGTATCTTCAAAAATTCCTTCCTATTAAAAATCTAATTCATGGTTTTGGCGGTGACGAGAAAAACCTACAAAAAGAAAGTGAACAGAGACATCACGAAACACCATACATCGAAGAATTATCTGACGAAAATGAAGAACAAACAGAAAATACGGAAGCTAAAAAATCCAAATTTACAAGATTAATGGAAAACAATGGCGTTATTATTGATTATCATAAAACTAAACGAGGAACTTACGCGTAAATATTTACAACTCTTGATCTGGAAAAAAGATTTATTTATTTATTTATTTATTTATTTATTTATTTATTTATTTATAATTTAAATTAACAAGCGTTCACGTGAGAACACCATCAAATCAAATAGCAAGATTTTCTAATATTTCGGTGCAAAATTTCGAAAAATACAAGACTGACGAAGCTAAAGAGATTACACCTGATAAATTGAATCTTCGTGAACATCATCCCGGTGATACATTTGAAAAGGTCATGAAAGAAGGAGGCCATATTACTGACATACATAAATTTGAAACTTATTCAGTTTATATTAAAAAAAGTGAAGGATATATTGTACAATTTGGAAATAGTTGAGTATTTATAAAAAATTTCTTTTGTTTGATTTTTTAGATTTGAGTTTTTGTAAACGTTTTTGATTTTGATTTTAAATTAACAAAGTATCAAAGGAAGCATTGGATGAACATTGTGACCATATTAAATTACAACCTGAATTAGCACAGGACAAATCTCTTGATCACAGTCATCGCAAGGTAACATATATTCATACAATTATTTAATTGATCGATCGATCGATCTATCGATTGATTCTTCTTTCTCATCTTACTCGATTAACATACATTTAGGGAGATACATTTGATGTTTGTGTGCAAGATCCAAATTCAATCATTATTGATATTATACCACATCCATTCTATTCAGTTCACGTTAAATCTAAAGACGGTAAATTGGAATATTATTCACATATTAGTGAAAAATTGTTGAATAAATATTACAAGGTATAGGATTGATATATCTATTTTTAACATCGCTTATATACGGTTTGATTTAATTTTCTAGCTAATAATATATATAAAATAAGAAAGGATGTAAAAAATTAAAAACTAATAATAAAATATTATATGTTATACATATATATCTTGCTTCAAATCTTTACATTTTATTTTCAATTGTTAAAGTTATGATTCATTACATGGACCCTAAAATAATTTAGAGGAGATAATATATTTGATCTCTCAATGTTAAATAAAGTACACCCTTTTTATCAAAAAAAAAAAAAAAAAAAAAACACGTAATTTATTATCATATAATTGCTTTGTGAATTTACGATTTGTTATTATCATCGTCTTCTCCCTCTTTTCTATTATTATTGTTAACTATTTAACTTGTTCTTTGTTATTATTATTATTATTAGTAATAATATCATTATCACCATTATCATTATTACTATCATTATTGCCACCATCATCATCAGCATTATTATTATCACAATTATCATTATCATTACTATCACCAATATCATTATCATTATCATTATCTTTATTATCATTATTATCACCATTATTATTATTGTCATCAGCAATATTATTGCTATCATTATCACCATTATCATTATCATCATCATTATCAATGTTACTATCAATATTATTATCATCAGCGACATTATTACTATCATTATCTTTGACACTATCATCATTATCATCCTTTTTACTAATAATAGTAGTACTACTACTAGAGAAAGTAAGTATTGGCAAGAAATCTTTAAGGATATCAATGATTTTCAATTGATCAATCAGTATCAACTCATCATAATTTTCCTCCTCATAATCACCACCATCAATCAACAATCCACCGTAAACTCCATCTATATAACATCTAGAGATAAATGGTACAAAACTTTGAGCAAATGTTGCATTGAATCCCTGTAAAATCGTGGTATCGTGTTTATGTTCAACAAGCAAATTTCCATAATCTCTTAGTGATTCTGCAATGGATAAAAAATTCTGATTGATAAATTTACCAAGTGGTTTAAATAATGAAACTGGTGCAACTAGACGTAAAGAATTAAAAGTCGACAAATAAGAATTCGTAAGGTATGCAATAGGTGGATAGTCTAATAATATAACTAAGGGTGTGAATGGTGATGATGACGATAATGATGACGACGATAATGAAGAGGTTGGTGGTGTGGTGGGTGGTGTGATTTTTAATGAGGAAAATGAGTCGGATAAACTTGTGAATTTCTTGTCACTTATCATCCACAAGCTTGGCAAATCAACATTTTTCATTGCTTGTTTCAAATCATCCAAGAAATCTTGAGTAGCCTCAAAAATCATTTTTTTGATAATTCTATCAACAGAACTCTCAAAATATCCCGACACAAGATGACGAAAATCAACGCCAACTCTACCCAACGACATTCCACAATACATCAATTGTGTAAGTATTGAGGATAGTGACGAGGTGTCAGATATTTGAGCTGTAAATTCGGCTAGAACTGCGGCTAATTGTTCTAGTACATAGATAGTATAATCTGAAATAGCGGTGGTGGTGGTGGCGGTGGTAATTTTCCTTTTGTTAAAAGAATTTTCCGACGGCGTACTTATTAATGGTGATGAGATCCAAGGTGATGAAGCCCAGGGTGATGAAGGTGTTGAAGGTATCGAGAATGAGGATTGGGTCGGTGTTGTGGGATATACACCACCACCTCTGCTATCCTCGGAAAATATGGCACGATATTGTGTTATCGTATCAAAAAAATGTTCTCTAAACACATCAATATATTTTTTTAAATAAAATATAGGATCTTTCTTTTCTACATCCAATTCGCTAATCAAAGATTGCAAATAAGTATCTCTAGAAAGTAGAAAAACAAGACGTAACTCAGGCTCATCAAACATATCCATGCGTCTCAAGTATCCAATAATTTTTAAACAAACAGGAAGTTTGATCTGTTGACTTAATAACTTGGTAAGTTTTGTCAACATCTGTTGTATTGTGTTTTTAACGTCATTATCAATTTGTTGAATGAGAGGAATTGATGGATATTTTGAGACTAATCTTGTTACATGCACTGAAAGATCCATTGCCTCGGAGTAAAGTTCATTCTTGAAACAAACGTCCATCAATTTAGGAATTTCTATGATTTCTAATAAATTAGTATGATTTTCAAGAATTGTATTAATCTTGTTATTTTGCTGTGTGAATTGTTTTGATTGTTCTAGAAAAGTATTACAATGATTTTGAAAATTAGGAGTTTTAGAAATTAAGTTCTCTAGATGTGAAGATAAATTTTCAAGCGAATTATTTATTACTTGCAAATGATTACTTGCATTACTAAATGATTTATATTCACAAAAAGATAGTTCTGCCAACTCTTTTTGATATTTCAATTTTTCATCTTGAACTAGTATAGGTGCCGAGTCTATATTATATTGAATATTTTCAAATGAATTTGTCGAAGAAGTAAAATCAACTTCTTGAAACGCTGTTAAATTATTCATCTTCTATTAATTTTTTATCTAATATTTTTTTTCTTGAAAAAAAAAAAAATTTTTATTTTTTTATTGCATTTCACGCATTTATATTTTTGCACGTTATGTTTCACAACATGCAGCCAATGAGTAATAACAACAAAATCGCGTCCAGAAATTAACAAAACTACTATAATAATAATTTAAAAATGACAGAATTTACCATTCCTGAAAATTTATCTTCTAAAACCTTTTGTCCACGTGCAATATTTTGGACAAACATAACATTACTTGGCTTTAATCCTTCAATACATGCAACAGGATCTTATTCCGTCATCAAATTCGACCAAAATATGTTTACTCAAGGTCCAAGTAGTGTAAAAGCTATGGAAATTATCATTTGGTTTCTATTTAACGAGCTGGATAGTGAATTAGCAGAAACTGTAAGAATTACATGTTTGCATATTGACTTTAATGATTATACTAACTGGCTAAAAAATATATGTATAAATATTTACCTGAATATTTGTTTACATATTAGAAATTCTATAAATGCTGGCCGATAATAGGTTTAGAAGATAGTAGAGAGTTTCGATCTTTGGCTTATAAATGGTTGGAACAATTAAGAAGAGAGAGATGTTTTGTTGGTGGTGATAATATTGTGTTAAGGAAATCTATGTTTGATGAATGTGATGATGATAGGTAATTAGTTAATCATATATGATTATTATGTAGTATTTAGCATTATATTATACTGTTAATCTAATTAACAAATATAGATTTTATAAATTGATGATGGTGTTTTCAAATTATGTTTTAAAAGAAAAGTTGAAAAAAGAATTTCCTGAATTTCAAGGTAAAAATTATATTTTCAATATTTGAATGAATTTAAGAAAATACTTGCAGAAAAATATTTATAAAATATTTTCAATTTATTCAAGCTCATTTGATTGATTTCGAGTCAGTTAAAGAACAATCTCTAGAATTCCAGAAAAATACATTAATGGTATTTATGTCTTATGCTATAAATTAATTTTGGGGAATATAAGAGTAAAAAATTTTTAATCTTGAAAAAATATTTAATAATGAAAATAGTCGCATATCAAGATACAAACTGATAAATTTTTAAGCAATACACAAAAAAGAGTGGCAATTTATGATCAATGGAAATCATTAGCTGATAATATTACACAGCAATTTAAGGATATAGTAAATCAAAATGTAAATATTTATAATTATCATAAATATCACCATTATTATTGTTTGCAATTAACAAACATTTCAAATAAATTTAGAATGAACTAGAGAAAAAATATAGTGAATTATATAAAGGATCAAGTTCATTTGAAGTATTTGGTATAGTTTCAGTTGAAGATCTTGAATCCATAAGAAAAGAATATTTGCAAGAAGTTCGTTCATTATGGAATATATGTTTGGATTGTATCAAGAAGTCTGATAGTTATCATGGTAATTTAAATTTTTTTTGTGGTGAGGAAAATTATAGATAGAATATGAATAAATTTATATTGCATACTTTCTAGAATGTGTTGATCATATTATCAATGATAATACCAATAAATATAAATTGGATGGTAATAATATTAATTTAAAAGTTCCCGAAATAATAATTAAAAAATGGGAAAATCAATTTCAATTGGTATGTAATTTATATACACCTTTAGATCTTACACACACACGCACACATATATTATTATTAACATTTATATTATTAATATTATTTAGGAGAATATAAATATATACCAAGGTGGCAAGTTAGATTTGATTTCTTTGCTAAGATTATGGAAGTATACATTATTGACTTTAAAGGATACAAGAAAAAACTCAATCAACGCCATAAACAAAGAATCTATCATTGACATGTCCAGAAATCTACAAGATGATAATAATAATGAAAATGAAAACGAAATGAGGCATGTAAAAGATCTTTCTACCACTTTGAAAAAATTAGATAGTCATTTGACAAAACAAAAGAATGAATCTAGAAATTTGTTAAATCTAAAAAATTCCTTACAAACACGGTTAAATGAAATAAATCAATCCATAAAATTACTTAGAGAAAGTTTATAGTTTAATTAATAATGGTAATATGAAATACCTTGTTTATGTAAATCTTAATTAATAAAATATTATATTTTTATGTTATGTTTCAAGAAGATTAAATCTAGATTAAAAAATACAAAAATTGTTAAATGGTGTTGAAATTTCGTCATTTAAATTTAGAAACTATTTCCAGAAATTCAATGTTACATGCGCGGGTGGATTCCGCGTATTTAAATGGTCCATCCATTCTTGGAATATTTTTATGGGTAACCACATCATTTCTAAAAAAATAAAATATCAAATGTCAGATTTAATATTACCCTGGTAAAAAATCTAAGATAGCCATGAACAATTTAATACATAGGATCAAGTATATACAATAGCAAAAAGAAGGTAATAAATGATTAAATGCGTATCATGAAAATATATGAAACACGTGAAATCATTCAATCATTTTGTCATTTCCTTTCGTAGTGAGCTCGGGAGTAGTGATTACCTAACCTGTCTCGAATTCTTTTCTTTGTTGATCCGACCTGACTTACCCGGAAATTAGTTGACCCAAATTGGTTCGGGGGCTATAGTTCATATTTCAAAGATCAACCAACATAAGAACCTTATTTTGGTTCGTGTTACATATTTGATTAATATTATTTGATTCAATTTTAATCAAACAAGCTATATATAATTATTTTTTAGAATTGTTTTAATAATCGACAATGTCTCAGGATTCTGATGAAGAATTTGAAAAGTATGACCCCACTCTTCAAAATGTTTTAGATCAACAATCTTTACATTGGATTTTCGTCGGTGGAAAGGGTGGTGTCGGTAAAGTATTTTTTTTTTTTATTAATATTAGTGAATTTGATCTATGTCGAATTTTGAATATCTGCAACAAATATTTTTTATAGGTAAAACTACTACATCATGCTCACTTGCCGTACAATTAAGTAAAGTTAGAGAATCAGTTTTACTGATATCAACCGATCCTGCTCATAACTTGAGTGATGCTTTTGGACAAAAGTTTAGTAAAGAAGCGACTTTAGTTGAAGGCTTTACAAATTTATTTGCCATGGTATTTATTTCATGATTTAACATAATAGATAACAATGTGTATTATAATAAAAATACACTTAAAAACTTAATCTATAATAAATTGATTTATTTATTTATTTGTTTGTTTGTTATTTTTTAGGAAATCGATCCTACATCATCGATTCAAGAAATGTTAGATCAATGTATGTATTGATCGATTGTTTTTCTAAAAAAAAAAAAATCAAATCATGTAAATAATAATATATAATTTTAAATTATTATTTTTTAGCTGAACAACAAGGTGGAGGTGCGATGGGAGCAATGATGCAAGATCTTGCTTTCGTAATTCCTGGTGTAGATGAAGCGATGGGATTTGCAGAAGTTATGAAGTAATTATACAAGCGGTCGTTTAACCATTTTGAATATTGGTTTTGAGCGATTAAAATTTAAATATTTGCATTTTAATTGATAACATTATTTAAATTATCAATAATAATAATAATAATAAATTACTAGACAAGTTAAAACAATGGAATATTCAGCTATTATTTTTGATACAGCACCAACTGGTCATACTTTACGGTTTCTAAGTTTTCCTAGCGTGTTGGAAAAAGCTCTTGCAAAAATTTCAGAATTAAGTGGTCGATTTGGTCCAATGTTCCAACAAGTAAAAAAGATTAAATGAAAATGTTCATTTATTTGTTTATATACACATACATATATAGAATACTAAATTATTATTTAAAAAAAAATGAATAAATAAATAGATGTCAGGAATGATGGGATTGAATCCTAATCAAGAAGATTTATTGGGAAAACTTGAGGGAATGCGATCTATTATTACAGAAGTTAATAATCAATTCAAAGATCCTGTATGGTTTTTTTTTAATATTACACATTTTTTTGAAAATCAAAAAAACGATTTTTTATTGATTAAAATAAATTTTTTTATAGGATAAAACAACATTTATTTGTGTATGCATTTCCGAGTTTTTATCTCTTTATGAAACAGAACGTATGATTCAAGAATTAACATCATATCACATCGACACTCACAACATTGTAGTAAATCAATTACTATTCCCACGAAAAGGTCAAATTCTTAATTCAAATCTTTTTTAAAAATAAATATTTTGTTATTATTTTTTTCCTTACATCTTTTTCAATTCCATTTTTTATTTTTATAATAATAGGTTCCAATTGTGAACAATGTCTAGTTAGACATAAAATGCAGCAAAGATATTTAGATCAGATTTATGATTTATATGAAGATTTTCATATTGTGTTAATGCCCCTTTTAACAAAAGAAATACGTGGTACGACTGATATTAAAGAATTTTCAGAGATGTTGGTGACCCCATTTAAGCCACCTGGCGACGAAAGTGAATCTGATGGTGTTGATGGTCTTACCAGTAACGATTAGAAAAGATTAACATTAATCGATCAATTATTATTAATTAATTATTTATTTTTTATTATTTTTTATTGTTAAATAATCAAATAAAGTTTCTTTTTATATATTTATAACTGACTATATATCTATTTAATTAGTAAAAAATTCTATACATGCAATATTAATTTCCAACCAATTGAATAAAAAAATATTAACAACAAATATCTTATTAGTTTTAATAAATAAATAAATAAATAATATAGCTGGCTAATTTAAAGCTAATAAAGAATAAAAGTTTGTAAGTTGCAAGAAAATTGATTATTTGTCTATGTTGAAATTTCTTCTTTTTATTAATTAATTGATTTTCTAATTTTATTCAATCGCTCTTTGATAAGATTATCATACCAAACAGCATAAATTTCTCGATTATAAAGTGCCAGAATGAAAATCTTTCGACTATAAATAAAAAAAAAATTTTTTTAAATAAAAGCATTAATTGTCGTTATTAAATAAATATCCACATTAATGTATTGATAGATTACAAACCTGAGCTGTTCCAATTCATTAGCAACTGGAAGAATTCCATATTGGGCTAAAGTTTCCTTTTTCGAAAACTGTCCTGTTTGAAGATGTTGCTTAATAATAGTTTGGATTTTACGTGAAAGAAGTGAGAAAACTTTATCTGACTGGGAAAGAGTTTTAGAAACCATGGATTTGATAAGTGATTGGGTTTCAAATGAAATAGTCGGTGGGTAATGTGATAAAATTTCAGTTGTCAAATTGTCTATTTTCGTGCTATGATCCATCAACAAAACAAAAAGATTATTCTTCAATGTCTCGAGTTTCTCCCCACTAATTGAGTTGGCAGAGGAACCATTAGCAATGTTCTTGGTTAACATTAGCAATGCTGCTGCAATTGTGATTGCTTGTCCTTCATTCTGGAAATTCCAAAGTCTTTCCAAATCCAACAAGAAAGTTTCAGGACAATTGTTTTTGTCAATTAATACTTGCTGGAAAATATACGAGACTAGAGCTTCATTATAAACTTGAGCAAATTTAATACCATGATTATGTTGATTTGGCAACAAATCATTTTTAGGGTTAGGCTCAGCGACTGTGCAAAGAAGTGAATCAACGGTTGGTTGTAGCCAAGCCTTTGTTCGCTCAAGACTAAACCGATTTGATTTTAGAGCTTGTTCAAATATACGTCTTTCATAATCAACTGCATGTTCTTTCAGATAAGGTCTAAGTGCTTTCAGACGATAATTCGCAAGATCTAGCCTCATCAAGTCCAGAATTTCCAACACTTTTTGGAAGATTTTTGAAAGTTCAGTCATATTTCGGAGCGATTGAATTTGTTCATCACGAACTGGTGCACAGATTTTTAACATCATGCCAGTGATAAACATAATGCAATCACGTACATTGTATACGCCTGCTTTGCTTTGCTGTGTAATCAATTCAATGTCAAGTATTTCATCCACAGAAGCATACATTGGTGAATTGGGTGGCATCAATCCAATAAGTTTCTGTTATGAATTATACAATTCATTAAAAAAAATAATGATATATATTGAAATTTATGATATAATAGTGTTAATTTTCAAAAGAAGCACAATTTACCTTTTTAATGTCGTTTAAAAGATTGGGTATCCATTGAATAAATTTACCCTTTTCAAAATCTTCTTTTATAGAATCAAAATAAGCTTTTTTAGCCATTTGATTAACACTTTCTTCCAATCCAGTCAATTTCAATGGTTTCAACTCAAATCCAGGATCAATAATGATTTCATGAATAAGTTGTTCATTTGCCAATCCTGCTGCCTCGATTGGCACTCCATAGCTTTGAATAATACGCTGAAATTCTGCATTAACATTAGATTTCAACGACGATGGGGATGAAGAGGAGGTATCATTGCCATTATTAGAATTAATGGAAGGTAATGACGATGATGACGACGATGATGATGATGAAAATTCATTATCGCCAGCTGATCTTGACTTAATTACCAAGGCAGGTGATTTTTTAGATGCTTTATCATACATATTAGGTGGAACAAATGGTTGTCTTTGAGGAGCACATGAATTACTATTATCACAATCTTCTTGTTCGTCACTTTCTTGATCAGTGGCCATACTATTGATAGAATCAGAAGTATCAACATCACCACTACCACTACCTGTCTCAATCTGGAAATCTTTTTTTAAATGCCCAAGTGCTCTTTCCAATTTAGCAGTTACTTCATCATCACCTAAATCCCTAATATTCCTTCTAATCTCTTTTTGTTGATGGCTTATATTGACCTTGCCTGTGTTACGTGATTTTTCCAATTCTGTATAGTGTGCAATCAAACTGTTTGCCAGTTTTTTGGAATCTTTTGGTTTCCATATATTGAAATCCCTGTAGTAAGTATGCCAAGCCGAAAGAAAATTATTAATAAGTCCATAACAACGGATTTTATTATATTTGTCATTGTTGATGGAGTCGAACCATGTTTCTAATGAATTCAACATAGCTTTAGCTGATTTAAAAAGAGCCTAAAAATATGTATATATATATAGAAGTGAATACGTTGCATACACATATAAATATATATTATATAAAATTTCCAAGAAACGAAAAACAATTTAAATTAAATAATATACTTTTTCATAATACCCAATATCAACAAGGATTTCTTTTGTGTGTGATACAATTATGTAAGCACTTAAGAAAATTCTTGCAGGATTTTTATATTTACCAGTTTCCATGATCATTTGAGAAGTCTTGCTGACTTTCTGTAGAAATTTATTAGAGATTTGAATAATAGCAGATTTCTGTAATAATTGCACAGCGTTTTGAAAAGACATATTTTCAACGGTATGAAGTGAAATATCAAAGTTATGATAATCTTTAACGAGTTTGATGAGTTCATGATAACGCCAAGCATTTTGAATTACTGATGCAGCTTCTTCACGAATGGGTGGGCTAGGATAATCACTGGAGAGCAAACGTGATTTTGGAACGGTGAGAAGTCTAGCACGACGAGCAGCAGTAGCACATTGACGGCGTTCCATATCAGCACGACGCCTATCGATATCTTTTTGATTCTTGAGTTGTTGTTGACGAGCAACTTCTTTGCACCTGGCGACTTCTTGAGCACATTGTTCTACCAAACGTTGAAGAATAGTATTTCTATTTTTTTCAGCCATTCTCAAAGTTTCTTGAATATGATACCGTTTAGCTGAAGAGTCATGAAGGGCTCGTTGATGTTGTTTTACAAGAACATCTTTAACGTGTGAAAATTGACGAGCCAATTTAAGACGTCTTTGTTCAAGTATGGCTGTTCTCTTAATTTGAGCTTCGTCTGTTGAATAATGAAACAATTTGTTTTTATTATTGTTATTATGATTACAATTGTCAAGAGCATGTGAAGGATTGGATTTTTTAGATTTCATTCTTCTCTCAAGATGAAATGGACGTTTGCTTGCATGATGGAGAGGCAAAACGTCAATAACATAAAAACCAGAATCAGTTTTATGCATCATAAAACAAAGTATAATAACAGGAATATCACAATTGTGATGTTAAACAATTTTGGCTAATTTGCTAACTTTTGATTTTCTTTGTGGCATAAAGTTCGCTTTATTTGGTTATGTTGCAGCACGCCCAAATGATCTTCTTATCATATTCCAATGTCGTCGATGTTATAATTATAACGAAGGATTGATCTTCAACATTCATTACTTTTACGGCTCATAAGAAAGAATTATAGATGGATGTCTAAACTAAATTATCTAGACAATGTCTAAAATATAAATTAAAAATCCAATCATTGGCTATTAAACCTACCAATTAAAATAATTAAAATCAAGCTAAAATTACGTGACCGACCAATGAATGTATATACTTTGAAAAAATGATTTGGAATACCATTTAATATCCTTATTGACAAAGAAAATAACTTGCCAAGCAGGTTAATGCTATTTATCTATCCATGCATATTCTATGGCACGCCATGCTGGTCCATATTTTTGTTGTAATTAACTGCAACATTTGTTGTAAAGAAATAATTGCAACAAAATGTAGTACACTTTTGTCCAGCACGGCATGCCGTAGTAATTGATCATTGTCTTTTCGTCAAATAGTTTCCTTTTTCGTATATGTTTGAAACGATAATATATTTCTTTCTATCTTACTATATAATTAACTATTTGCTATATTTTCCAAATAACCAACTAATGCTCCAAAAAATATATTGCTTAGGGATAAAGGTGAATTATAAATCATGCATATTTTTCTTTGCTAATTTTAAAAAAAAAATTTATTAATGATTTCTAAATATGCCTAACTTGTCCAATAAGTGGATAACTACACAATCGTATTAATATTAATATTTTGTAAAGAAATATCTTAATTCGTGATACGTGATAGAAGTAGATGATTGGCACATTTGTTGATAATAGAAAATGGGGTCAATATTTACTATAAAAAGATATGCCCAGTGTTGAAAATTAGGTTTAATTGATTGGTTGAAGTCCCAAATTTGCATCACAAATTACACAAAAATTTTTTTTTTACTTCAAAATTCGATAGTAAAATTTGTTTTTTTTATTAAATAAAAAAATTTTTTTTTTAAGTAAAGCAATTTTATGGTTATAATGTATCTAAAAATCATATTATTTTTGTTTGCGGAATATTTTTGTCGTGTTATATTGAGAGAAGTATTTCAATTCGTCGATTTTTGCCCCGGATCGACATATAGATTTTTATCTACGTATCACGAATCATTGATTATATTATTGATAGTAATATTTTTAAGAAATTACAAAATCAAAATTTTGGTAGAATTGATAATTTCAGCTCATATTCCATCAACTTGCTTCTTTTTTTATAAATGATAAAAATAGAAAATAAACTATTGACATCTGAATTTGTTTTAAATTGGTATATATTTATTTTAATTACAAATTAAAATGTCCAAAGAATAATAACAATGATAATATATATATTACAATTGATGATGATGGAAATATGGGAACAATTAGAATAGAAAATGGCGAAGAAGAATGCAGTGGTAGTAATAACAATATTGAAAATTGTATTTAGATGTTTATTTTTATATGTTTTTTTAGATATATATATTTTTTTTAAAAGAAAAAACTACTTAAAATAATCAAAATTGCCTGTTTAAGCTACCAGCATAATAATAAATACTGAAATTTTGAAACGCGTTTGAAATTTCTTATTGTGACGTTAAATCATCAACCCAAATTAATCCAATCATTTATGAAATATTTATTAACCAATGAAAATCATGCATGCAAAATTTCAATTTTTATTATTTTGAAATAATAATTCGTTTCTTTCTAAAAAATTTCTTTCTTTCGTCAGGACTGATTAGATCGACAAGAGGATTGATTTCACAGCTTATTTTCACAAAATCCAATTATATTGATATATTTAACAATCATATAATATAGAGTTTATATAATATATATCTTGATTACCACATATACTATACAAGAACCAAAAATTTTTCGGCTTACATCTCTATTCATTAGAAATGTTATTTATTTATTATTGCTTGAATTATCTATTAGTTTTGTTATGCGTTAAGTTAAAATATAGATCATCACAAATTTGGATGTTATGACAAATCCGTCCAGGAAAAAGTATTTTACGCACAGGAAAGAACAAAAATAGCAGAACATTTGTGCAAATTTTGAGGTGGTGTTATTATTATATAGTCTATGCAGCGTTACTTTTTCGATTTTACTAAATTGTCGATCTTTTTTTAAATGTGTATACGCAGTTCTATCCATAAAAAGATTTGAATTGATCGATAAAAAAATTTCTAATATATTCCAACAAATCATGAAACATATGAAGTCGCGATTTTTTTTATTGATATGTATAAAAGGTAGCTAGCTTTTTTCGTTTATATAAAGAAAATTTTTTTCTCATACTTTATATATACGTATAAAAATATTTATTAAACATATAATCAATCAAAATTTTACTTTTTTTTTTTATATAAACAAAAATGTCTCAACAATTATCTCAACAAAACGGTCAACACTCCCAACAACAACAACAAAATTATTATTATGATGGACAATTTCAACGTCCCGTTCAGCAACTTCAACAACAACTCCAACAGCAAGATTACGATCAACAACTTCAGCATTATGTACAATCAAATCTTCAACAGCAACAGACTCAAAATTTCAGTCAACAGCAGCAAGTTTATGCACGACAACAACTTCAACGAATTAATGATCCGAATCAGCAAACTCTTATTCAAAACCTTGATCAAGGAATTATTGTTTTCGATAATTTATTACCATTTCAAAAAATGACTAATGACGGCAACAATAACAACTTTCTTGCATCATCACCATCTTTAATTAATAATCCAAATTTTAATAATGATCGCAATTTAAATTTAAATGTTTCTTCATTCAATTATGGAAGCATTCACATGAGCAACAATGAGGACCCTTTAATTGCGGCTATTTCTCATCATATGCTAATGATTAAAGAATGTAGGACGAAGCTTGATCAACATTACTTTGAATTAGAACAAAATTTCAAAAGGTTAAGGTCTAGAGACAACTAAATTGTCTATCACATTATAATTAGAGTGTTTAGAAATATGCACATTATTTTATTATTTATTTTCTTATTATTATTACTATTATTATTATGGTTTAGGATGAGTAAGTAATAAAAATTGACATATCTAAACGTAAAATAACAAAATAAATTGAATGTTGAATATTTAATTAATATATTTCAAAAAAAAAAAAAAATTAAAGCGGCTAAACTTACTAAAAATTAATACATGAGCAATATTTAACATAGTAAAGTCATTGAACGTAACAACCGTTTTTACAATAACTTGCCTAGTATTTTATTAATATTTTTAAAAAACGGTTATTATACTCAATGCTTTCACCATGTGAATCTTTATGATTTACATTTTTTCTGCCGATGTCAACAAAGTAAAGAACCTTTTGATTTGTGTCAAAAATTGACAATGATGTGTATACTGTTAAAAAATACAAGCCGTGCTGAAAGATTTCAATCAGAAATAATTTAAAAAAATTTATTTATTTATTTAACAATATTTAAAACTCTAAGATTTTAAATTTGGCCAAATGGCGACTATAGACGGATATCACGCACTAAGTTTGAGATAACTTATTATTATGCAATTGGCTGGCGCTTGTGAACTTTATTATAACGGAACGGTTAACTACTGTACTTATTATTATGCGCCACTAAATGTATTATTATACCCTGACTGGATTTAAGGCGACTATTCCGAAAATATGTAATGAGCCATAAAACAGCAGTTATCTCCTGGGCCATGTAAGCTCCGGGAGAGGCCCTCAAAAGCTTATATGTCACCCAGGGGCAGCCAACTATTATTTTATAGTCTGCACAAGTTTAGAATGAGATAAATATTTATTTTTTTAAAAAGTATTAAGGGAATTTTCAATAGCCATCTTCAATCTTATTGCCATAATAGCATTTTTTAATAAGAATAATAACATAAAACAATAAATAATAATAATAAAAAGAGTATTGTATTGAGAAAAAAATAAGAAATAATTATTGCCGAGTTGAATAAACTTTATCAAAATAAAGATTTCGATCAACATTGCTTTCCAACCGTTCTACACGAATAAAAAGTTTACCTAAAAGATTGTAAATATCTTCATTACTAATACTACTAATACTACTATTATAATTGTAATGGCCGTTATCGAAAGCATTATTTTGTGGTAAATTGTTGTTTGCAAAAATTCTTTGGTTCTTACTTTCTTCAATTTGATTAATACGTTTTTCAAGACGAGTCAAAAGCCAAGTAATATTATTATTGTTTTCACAATAAAAAGAAGAAGGATCATTTAATAATGGGGTCAAGACTAAAGAGTTCATGTTGTTATTGTCAGGAATTGTAGTGGTGGCACCAACGTTTGCAGTAGTAGCAGGAGTGATATTTTGATAATTTGGAAATGTTTCAGTATTTTGTTGTTGTTGCGCTTGTGGTGGTGGTGGTGGTGGAAATAGTTGCATGATAACATTGTCATGTTCTAAATATTGATTTGGATTATGATGATAAATCGTGTTATCATCTAAATTGATTTCATTGGAATGTTGATGAAAATTATTTGTTAAAGGAGATATAGAGAAATCATTCTGATTATTAGTTGGAGGAAGCACAGAGAATTTATTTTGTTCGTATGTTAAATCAGAAGGATCTCTATTATAATTATAATCACTCATACTTGTAATGATATTTGATTTTATATGTTTTTATTTTTTATTTTTTCTCAAATAATTTTCAAAAACAAAATCCATCCGTTATTTATATGTATTTCATATGTTCACGAATTCTATTTTATCTAGAGATGGGTAAATGTGCGATAATAATAAGTATAGTGCGTGGCGATTTCCAAATGTAATAGTAATACAAACTGAATTCTAAGAAAAATAATTTGTGTTTGTGGCATTTGGACAGACAGGCGTAAATGTTATCCATATCCAGACAACGTTGAATGATAAATAAGATGCATAAATGAAAATATTAAATATTTTAATAATCATTTTAATCAAATGCTGTTTTGTGTAGAGATAAACATATTAAGTAATATGGTGGCCAGATTATTACAAATATAAAAAAAAAATTTTTTAGTTTAAAATATATAAAAAATTTTTTTTTTAGTCTATTATTTTATATTAAACAAATAATTATAAATAAACCTGCTTTTTTCAATTTTTTTATATAAATAAATCATATTTGACAACTTCCAAAACGATAATAATCCTTTACCATACCTACCAACACACACCACAGTTTTCATATCTTTAAAGAAAAATAAAGGTTTTTCTTCTATTTCCATGATCAAAGGAATTCGATATTAATGAATAATAAGAATATCTAATAATATTAATAATAATAAAATAATATATTATATAATAAATCTTTTTTTCAAATAATAAAAAATATTTTTAAGCAAATTTTTTGTGTTAATCTTACCCTTTTACAATATCAAATTAAAATAATTCAAAGAATGTATATTGATAATAACAATATTTTTGAGGATAATTATTATAATTCACCATCTTCAACATCACAACCTCATAACCTTCGCTTCTCCATAGCAATAGCACCAACAAAAATCTTCCGTTCTCAACCCACCGATTCTCATTACCTTTCTAAATCACCAACAGGCTCGTTATCATCATCTTACTCTAACTTGTCATCCTCTGTCACCAGCATTTGTTCTGAGAGCCATAACGATGAAATCGTTATTCTTAGCGCAAATAGTTTGTACAATTACAACGGCAAGCAAACTCGAGATTATTATTTTGACGATGACGACGATAATGTCAACGATGAAGATTATTATGCCTCTTCCTATTTTTCATCATCCAATACCAAGCCAATTGACATTCCAATGAAAGCTCAAAAGGAGGATAGTTCATTAGAACCAAACAAAGGCACATTCGGAGAAGATAATGGATTTCCTTGAGAACTTACTTAGCTAATTAATACTTGTATATTTAATTATGACTTAAGCATTATAAGAATGGAAATTTATTATTCGCGCATGTTTTTTGGATTTTTTATCATTTAAAATTTTCTCTATTTTTTTACCTTTGTCGAAATTTGAACGAAAGCAAAACGAAAACGAAAACGAAAACGGAAACGGAAACAATTATGCAAAATAATTATAATTTTTTATTTTATATAATAAGAAAATAATTCTTGCTTCGTAATCTTCGCTTCTCAATAGCTATAACACCAGCAAAAATCTTCCGTTCTCCATCTATCAATCCTCATTATCAAGAGGGATCTCGCCAACAGGCTCATTATCATCATCTTACACTAACTCGTCAAACTTGTCGTCTTCTTATCAGGATTTGTTCCGAGAACGATGACAATGATATCATCATTTCAGCGCAAGTAGTTTGTACAATTACAACGCCAAGCATACTTGAGATTGTTATTTTGATGATAATGACTATATTGTCAACGATGAGGATCATTACACCCCCTCATATTATTCATCATTCAACCATCAAGCCAATTGGAATTCCAATGAAAGCCCAAAAGAAGGATACTTCTTTAGAACCAAACAAAGGCACATGATGGATTTCCTTGAGAACTTACTTATTTACTTATTACGACCATTTTACTCTAAAAAAGCACGGTTTTAGTTCTGAGACCAGAGGTCAATTTTTCTAGTCCAAGCCCAAATAATTTTGTCACTTAATCAAATTGAGAAATTGAAGAAAGCATTTCCACCTCATATTTCAATTAAAGATGCTGTTGCTTGCTTTTGAAACTTTCTTCGACAAGATAATGATGGTTCAGAGTTAGATTGTGACGAACCCAAAGTTTTTCATGTATTAAAGAAAAAAATTAATTTACATAATTCTAAAAAATCCCAAACTAAAGAAAAATAACCTCATAATTTGCCAATTAACTGCATTACCATATTACATTTCTTTTATAAAAAGGTCATGTGATTGATTACCTTGGTTACCGTCAATGTTGTCCTCATGTAAATATAAATAATCACCACATCAATGAATGATTATTATTTGTAAATACAAAGAAGTAAAAGCTTTAATCTAGCTGCAAATATGTAAACTAACCATAACTTAAAATAATATTTAATAGAACTCATTGCCTAGATCTTAAACCGTTACCCTCCCATGCTAACCCAGTTTTTTCCTTTTCTTCCTTCCATCAAGTTGGTATTTGTCGATTAATTTATTAATTATTAGAACTCAAACGCGTGACATCCGTCTATAGTCACCATTCAAAAGGATTTTTGATTTTTTCATCAGAATTTAAATAAATAAGTTTTTTTTTAATTGTTATTTTTGATTGAAATCTTTCGGTATAACTTATATTTTTAATAGTATACGCATCATCGTCAATTGTTGACGCAAAATCAAAAGGTTCTTTGCTTTTTTAACACCGGAAAATCCTCAGGACATGCTCAAACCAACCAGATCTTGACTATCTATATTATTAATATTAATATTAATATGTGTTTGCCTAAAAAAAAGAGAAAAATAAACATTAAATATATTAAAATATAGTTATGTCCGACCAAAATTAAATTTTTTTTGCATCATTATTGTTACGTCATAGGATTATAGCTGGTGAAAATTTCAACTTATAAAACAATTTGCTTTATACTACTAATACAGTTTCATTTAATCTTGCCATGACGGTTTTATACGCGAGCGAATTTAATTGTAATCACAAAAAAATCTACTACATATTAATAATATAAAATAAAATCCCAGTTTAAAGACTATTTCGACCTTGCAACAATATTTCATTTAAATGTTAAAATGTAAATTCATAGCAATTAATTGGTGGCTATAATCCACTTGATTGGGGCGGAGATGATCGTAAAAATACACTTAGAAGTTTTATTAACATAATAATAAAAAATGGTATTAATGCCGCACAGTTTAGTTATCCAATTAATAATGACAATAATAATAGTGAATGAATTGGAGGTTTTTGAGAACTTACTGGTCGAATTGAATGTTCGGGATCGAATCAGTTCGAATATGGATAATCATCTGAGAAAATCAGTCAAATTTTTTTTGGCCAGAATTCTTTTTGGTTTAGAATGTTCCAATTAAATCTTGGAAAGATTTGCAAAATTAAACCTCCATTTTTCATTTTCAAAATATTCCCATTGTTTATTAACGTCCGAATATGGCCTTTATTATTGTGATATTTCTAATAGTAAAAAAAATTTACTAAATTGTGTGGAATATATATATAAATAAAATACAGAGGTTGTTATTCCCCGTGACTAGTGTGTTACCATTTTGCAAATGGTGTATTTACATTGTATGCCTCTGTTAAAACAGGAGATACCGTCCTATATAAGGAATGGATTTTCACAATTGATTTCAATTTTTTTTATACAGTTTAAAATACTTTTACAAGGGTATCATGTAGCCCATTCTTGCAATAAATCATGTGTAAATAATTACACAAACTTGAAGCTTTACACTTTGTTGTTATCATATCTTTTGAATCCCTTTGAATCCCACAACTTTCATGTCCCACGACTGTTATGGTGAAAGTTCTTGCAAAAGTTTGATTATAAAAGTGTGAGATAATTTTGATCTTGCTGATGATCTGGACTTAGAGAGGCTACAGCTATATTCTAGTGAAGTTTCAGAAGCAACGGGCTATGTGTAACCGCCTGCCTATTATACAAATGACTGTTGCACAAAATGAGTGCCATTATGCTATATATCAAAACCATATTTATTTCTACGTTTATCAAATTTTAATTGGTCAATCAACAAATAGTATTAATTTTGTGTTCCCAGAACGGTCTTTCCTGTTCTCTGTGTTAATATAAAGCTTATTGAAAGAAAATATCCCCATTAATTACCATAATTATCGTTTCGTGTGCGACAAACGTTTTTATATATAAATGGCACCTTATTTTATTAATTTTTTTGATATTCAAATTTTTTATAACATATTTATTATATAATTTGATAACTTCAAACGATAATAATCTTTTCATACCAATTTAACTTTAATTTATTCTATAAGAGGTGGCTTTTTTTGTTTTTAATTTATATAAAAAAATTTTTCTCCTTAAACATATATAATCAATCAATTTTTTCTTTTTTTATTATAAGCAAAAATGTCTCAAATTCTTAACGGGCAACTATCTCAACAAAATTATTATTATGATGGACAATTTCAACGTCCCGTTCAGCAACTTCAACAACAACTCCAACAGCAAGATTTCAATCAGCAACTTCAGCATCATGTACAATCAAATCTTCAACAGCAACAGACTCAAAATTTTAGTCAACAACAGCAAATTTATGCACACCAACAATTTCAACAAATTAATGATCAAGGAATTATTGTATTCGATAATTCATTACCATTTCAAAAAATGACTAATGACGGCAACAATAACAACTTTCTTGCATCATCATCATCTTTAATTAATAATGATAATATCCCAAATGATCGCAATTTAAATTTAAATGTTTCTTCAATCAATTATGGAAATATTCACATGAGCAACAATGAGGACCCTTTAATTGCGGCTATTTCTCATCATATGCTGATGATTAAAGATTATAGGATGAAGCTTGATCAACATTATTTTGAATTAGAACAAAATTTCAAAAGGTTAAGATCTAGAGACAATTAATCACATTATTATTAGAGTGTCCAGAAATAAGCGCATAAAAATTATGCAATACCGATAAAGGAAATATAGTTGCCTTTCTTGGTATGATTATATGTGTTGATCATAACTATTTTTGATATATTTATGGACACTCTAATTCTATATTAAATATATTATATTTGTTATTTCCTTTATTTTATTATTATTATTATTTATTATTATGGTTTAGTTAGTAATGGTAATTACGCGTAAGATTTTGAGAAAACAATAAAAATACTCTGATAAAAAATTAAAACATGAAGCATCTAATTAATAGCTCATTGGTAAGAGCATAATAACCGTTTTTACAATAACTTCCCTAATATTCACTAGTATTTGTAAGACCATTGTAAAAACTATACTCAATGTTTTCACTGTGAAATTTTGGAAATTTTTGTGATTTGCATTTTTTCTGCTGGGAAAATTTTTGGCACCGTCTACTAAAATATAAAAGTTTTAACTTTTCTGAACGAAGTATGAGTAAAACCTTTATTAGAAATATTCAGAAATCTAATTAAAGGCATAGGATCTCTTCTCATAAATATAAAAAAAATCATCATCTTTCCAAGAATTTCTAATGGAAACAGTCAGATAAAAAAAATTTTTTTTATGATATTTTGAATAAGATGAGAACTCTCATAATTGAAACTTTGAATCTAAATGTTCAAATTCAGCATCACCGACTCTGTATGTGGCAGACCCAGTATACCATTTTTTTATTTTTATTAACAAAAAGGAGTCTTTAGTAATATGAATATGAATAAGAGAGAGGGTTTAAGAAGACAAAACCCCCCTTTTTAATATACATTAGTCCAATTCGTATTTACAGTAGAAATCAATTTGACACCAATAATTTAAATTGCAATGATAATAAATTCGTTAATTTTTCTTTACAAAATATTAATATTAATATGATCGTGTAGTTATCGCAATCACGATTTTATTGGATAAAAATTTGGGTTCGTTATAATCTAATCCTGAACCATCATTATCTTGTTGAAGAAATTTACGAGCAATTTCAAAACAGTAACAGCATCTTTAATTGGAACGTGAGATGGTATTGGAATGCTTTCTTCGATTTCATCGGCTTGAGTAAGCGACAAAATTGTTTGAGCTTGGGAAATTGGCCTCTGGAGTCCCAGAACTAAAACCAAAGTTTTTTAGAGTAAGAGTAAATATTAATTATACAAAGTATAAGTAAATAAGTAAGTTCTCAAGGGAATCCATTATCTTCTCCAAATGCTCCCTTGTTTGGCTCTAAAGAAGTAACTTTTTTTGGGCTTTCATTGGAATGCCAATTGGCTCGGTGTTGATTGATAAATAATAAGAAGAGGTGTAATAATCTTCATCGTTGACATTATCATCAAAATAACAGTCTTGACGGTGTAATTGTATAAACTACTTGCATTGAAATGATGGTATCATTGTTATTTTTCTCGTAACAAATTCTGGTGAAAGTGGATGACGAGTTTGACGAGTTAGAGTAAGATGGTGACAACGAGACTGTTGGTGAGATCCCTCTTGATTTAGAAAGATAATAGATGGGATTAGAAGATTTTTGTTGGTGTTATGACTATGAAGAAGCGAAGATTATGAGGTGGAGAAGATGGAAGGATGGGGAACTTCAAAAGTATTGTTATTATCAATATACATTTTTTGAATTATTTTAATTTGAAAAATTTTTAAAAATATTTTTTTATTTATTTTTAAAAATAGATTTATTATATTATTTATTATTGTTAATTAATACTAGATCTTTCTTATTAATTCATTAATTGGTGGTGTGGTGAAGGATGTAAAGATTATTGTTTGAAGTTGTCGTCAAATTATCGTCAAATTATAATGATAGATAATATGTTCTTGTTATCAGGTAGGTCCGACGTATTATTGGCAAAAATAAATATATTCTTATTATTAAACGATAAACTGACTGATTGTATCACATGATTATAATATAAAGTTTTGCAAAAATAAGTTTGTTTATTTCTGCCAGTGATTACATTAATAAATTTACTTGATACAAAGATACATGAGTTACACACAAAAAAAAAATTCGGAATACGATATTTTATTTTTTTTTACAGATTTTTAACCTTTGCGAAACAATTAAAATAAAATAATGTCTAATTGTCTCTAGATCTTAACCTTTTGAAATTTTGTTCTAGTTGGTCAAGCGTCATTATATAATCTTTAATCATTAGCATATGATGAGAAATAGCCGCAATTAAAGGGTCCTCATTGTTGCTCATGTGAATGTTTCCATAATTGAATGAAGAAACATTTAAATTTAAATTGCGATCATTATTAAAATTTGGGTTATTATCATTATTAATTAAAGATGATGGCAAATTTGTATTTTGGCCTTTACACTAACTTATTGCTTAAACAGGCAAATTTATGTTTTACTTAACTTATTGATTAAAAAGGCAAATTTATGTTTTGCCTAACTTATTGATTAAAAAGGCAAATTTATATTCCAATAAATTGAGGAGGTTTTCGAAGATTGATTTTTTAAAAATGAAGAAGATTAGAAACAGCGGTAATTTTTATGGTAATTGCCCTCAATGTAATAAACCTCGGACTGACCTGAATTTTTGTATTAATTGCAAACGTAATTATCACATTGAAATTTTGATAGGTGGTCGAGTGGTAATTTGAAGATTGACGAACTTATTAGATATACACAGGTAAACTCGACTCATCATGATCTTTTGGAGTGGATCTTATTGAATACCGTGATAAAGGTTGCTTTGGTGAAATCCATTCTGCGTACTGGTTGAGTGATCCTTTGTCTATGTGGGATCGTGATTTCGTGATTTAGAGTACTATAATAGACATGGCCCAACTAAAGTTGCTATCAAAAAAATTGATAATTCGCAAGATCTCAGTCAAGAATTTGTAAACAAAGTAAAAAAATCATTTTATTGTTTTTTTTTATTATTTTTTTTTTCGAAATTTTCAGAGTTTTAAATTCACTCATCAACTTTATTTATGGCTGTATGAGTTCCACCGATGTACAAAAAACAATTACATTGTAGATTTTTTTGGTATAACACGTGACGATACATCTAATTATTGTTTGGTATTAAGTTGCTATGAAGACGGAAATATCTATAAATTCCTTGACAAATCAGAAGGACTATTGTGTTGGCGGGATATAGTTGAGATCATTTGGTTGATCCCTGGTGGATTGAAATGCATACATCGAGAAAAATTATGGTGGAAATATATTGATTGATAATAGAGGTGATCTCCTTGATGTTGCGATTACTGATGTTGGTTTAAATACTTGGGCAAATAATGCTATTGTTGAACCATCGGATAGAAAGGAGATCTATGGAGTATTGCCATACATAGCACCTGAAGTTTTACTTGGTGATCATTATACGAGCGCGTCGGATATTTATAGCTTTGAGATGATTATGTGGTCACTAGGATCTGGAATTCGTCCATTTGTAGATATTGCTCACGATAAAAAACTTGCAAATGAAATAATCGTAAATGGGAAAGGCCAAAAATGTGTGAAAACAATTTTCCAAAAATTTTTATTGACCTTATGAGAAGGTGTTGGGAAAGCGACCTGAAAAGACGACCAACCGCAAAGGAATTATTTAAAATTACTGGAAGATGGGTAGTGGATATTTGTGATAATCCAAGTCCCAATGAAACTAGTCGTCAATTTGATGATGCCGAGGATAAAAAATTCTTGGAACTCGAAAAAAACCCTTTCTCCCAACCAACTATTCATCCTCTAGCAATTTATACAAGCAGACTACTGGATTTTCTGGAATTCGTTCTACTTGATCTTTTTATTCATTTAATAAATATTTTACGTTTTCGTTTTCGTTTTGATTTTCAATTTCGATTTTTTATGTGGTTAATCTGATATATAAAATTTATAAAAGGGTGTATGTGGTTGATATGAGTTATACAAGTTAGAATTTGTAATTTTTTAAAAGAGAAATGTTTTATAAATAAATTCTTTAATCAATAATAATGGTAAATAAACGAAAATACCATCAAATGATAGATTTTCGAGAAAATTGAAAACAATACCTGAATTTTGTTTTATTTTCATGTTGGCTCTGGTTGTATATTGTAAGATAGCCTTTCGGTTGGCGCCGATTATTTAACAAGTATGGCCAACGATAGCTTAACTTTTGGGTTATTCTTGTCAGTTAATTCGGTTCTTGTCGGTTAATTAGTTTACGAATTTACTTTGGCTCTCTATTACTGCCTCGTTCTTGTACCCAGAAAGCTTTGGAGAATCTGTAAGCACACTTAATGGTACCGGGTAACTATAAATAAATAAATACGGCTCTTTTACAAAACTCAATAACGTTCCTTTTATTTACTGGTAACCGTATTTATATTTATTTACTTATTATAAACTCGCTTTTGTTTATTTACAAAAAAATTTAGGCAGTCTGTTTAACAACCTTATGTTTATGATTACAATCACACTGCCAGTATTTCCAATTAACCTTCGAATAATACTTCATTAATATTCACTAGTTACCAACATTAGCCCTAATTTTTGCAAATAAAAGCAAATAAAAGGTGGTTTTTTTACTAAAGCGTTTTAAACGAAAAATAAAAAACATCGTTTTTATTTTTAAAAGTTTACTAACGATTTTTTTTTTTTTTTTTTTGAAGGATTAATCTTATTTAATAAAATATTACAAGATTTTATTTTATTAATATATAGCTAAATACATATATATGTTTTCTATTTTTTTCGAATCTTAATTTTGATATGATGGTTTCGGTAAATAGTGAAAGAGAAAAATTAAAAATTCTCTGAATAGTTGTTGAAAATCATGCAAATTTTTTGTGTTGTGAATATAAAAGCCCGTATTAGTATACGATAAAAAGGTCGGCAAAATTTTTAACGAAAAATTCGAAAAGCAATTTTCAAACCATATTTATATTTTTTTTTTGTTTATATAATTATGGCTGAAGAATTAAATTCTACCGCTATAACAATAATCTCTCTCCCTGGTGAACATATTTACATTTTATAGAAAAGTGATCATATGGAAAGATACTTTGAAAAGTAAACGAGTAAAAAAAACAAGTCGTCTAGTGAAGAGTATGTTGAACCATCCAAAAATCATGCAGATCTAGCTGAGAATAATTTGATAAAGGTGATTAATTAATCTTGTCAATTTGTATTTGAAAATGAAGTTGAACTTAGAAAGAAATAATTTTAAAAAAACTTATTTATTTAACAATATTTAAAACTCTAAGATTTTAAATTTGACTAAATGGTGACTATAGACGGATATCACGCACTAAGTTTGAGATAGCTTGTTATTATGCAATTGGCTGGCGCTTGTGAACTTTATTATAACGGAACGGTTAACTACTTCTGTACTTATGCGCCATTAAATGTATTATTATACCCTGACTGGATTTAAGACGACTATTCCGAAATTATGTAATGAGCCATCACAAATTACATTCAGTATTTTAAACTCAGACAGGTATAAAACAGTGGTTATCCCATGAGCCATGTAAGCTCCGGGAGAGGCCCTCCAAAGCTTATATGTCACCCAACTATTATTTTATAGCCTGCACAAGTTTAGAATGAGACAAATATTAATTTTTTTAAAAAGTATTAAGGGAATTTTCAATAGTCATCTTCAATCTTATTGCCATAATAGCATTTTTCAATAAAAATAATAATAATAAAACAATAATAATGAATAATAAAAAGAGGTATTATATTTGAGAAAAAAATAAGAATTAATTATTGTCGAGTTGAATAAACTTTATCAAAATAAAGATTTCGATCAACATTGCTTTCCAACCGTTCTACACGAATAAAAAGTTTACCTAAAAGATTGTAAATATCTTCATTACTAATACTACTATTACTAATATTACTACTATTATAATTGTAATGACCGTTATAGAAAGCATTATTTTGTGGTAAATTGTTGCTTGCAAAAATTCTTTGGTTCTTACTTTCTTCAATTTGATTAATACGTTTTTCAAGGCGAGTCAAAAGCCAAGTAATATTATTATTGTTTTCATAATAAAAAGAAGGGTCGTTTAATAATGGGGTCAAGACTAAAGAGTTCATGTTGTTATTGTCAGCAATTGTAGTGATGGCGCCAACGTTTGCAGTAGTAGCAGGAGTGATATTTTGATAATTTGTAAATGTTTCAGTATTTTGTTGTTGTTGCGCTTGTGGTGGTGGTGGAAATAGTTGCATGATAACATTGTCATGTTCTAAATATTGATTTGGATTATGATGATAAATCGTGTTATCATCTAAATTGATTTCATTGGAATGTTGATGAAAATTATTTGTTAAAGGAGATATAGAGAAATCATTCTGATTATTAGTTGGAGGAAGCGCAGAGAATTTATTTTGTTCGTATATTAAATCAGAAGGATCTCTATTATAAATATAATCACTCATACTTGTAATAAATAATGATTTTATGATATTCGATTTTATATGTTTTTTATCTTTTTTTTTTCTCAAATAATTTTCAAAAACAAAATCCATCCGTTATTTTATATCATTTTGGAGCTCTACGTAACACGATTATTTATTTAATTGTTTTTATTATTTATATTAATATATTAATATTAATATACTAATACTAATATATTTATTTATTTATTTATTTTATTTATAATAAATAAACAAAAAAAATATGATTCTATAGAAAAATATTCAAGTATATTTGAAAATCACATTTCGTCCATTTTTAAAAATTTTTTATCCAGTGCCGCAGCAAAATCTGACTAAATTTGAAGAATTCATGTATTATTATTCTTTTCCATTTTACTGGGGAAAACGTTTATTACAGTTGATGTTGTAAAATCTTTATTAGCATTAAAAGCAAATATATCAGATATTTTATTCAAAGGTTATTATTACAATATGGCCAGTACGATCAAGATTTGATTAAATTAAAATTACAAGATAATAATAATAATTCCCAAGAAATTGATTGAGAAAAATTTAAAGTCTTTCAAAATAGTATAAAGACTCCATGGTCATCGGACATATCGTTTGATGTATTTATTACTTTATTAAACGAAGCTGAAGCAAGATTTGGTACACATTTGCCTCTAAAGGGAACGATATTGAAAATTTTCATTTTTTAAGCTCTGGACAGTTGCCCATTGATCAAGCATCTCGAATCATTAAAGTAAACTTGGAAGAGATTCGTGATCTTATTGTCAATCAAAAGTTTACACCATTTCCTCCGAGACCAAAAATTAAATTTGAAGACACAAACGAATATTTCAGAACAACACAAATCATCAACCAGGAAGAATTTCCAGCAAAGGATGGCTACGAGAACAATCAACATCTTCATATTATCGCAAGAGCAATTTTATTAGAACATTACATTGTCAACATGTGGAAAGAGATAGGCCACAATGACATTTGCAGAGATGTTAATGATTTGGTAATTCAAGGATGCATTCTAAGACTTTTTCCATTAAATACTCCTGCTGGCGCACATGATCCAAGCAAAAAAAACGGTTGTAAATCAATTGTATGCACTCACTAAAATTGGATTCAAATTGACAAAAGTTGCAATGGTTAACATTTTATGTTTTTGTGAAAATCGACTTGATATAATTGGTGATTCCATTTTGATGGAATCCTTTTGCGAGGTTAGAAATGAGCCAAAATCTATCGTAATTCAAAAATGTTTAATTGAAATTACTCAAGTTGAAAAAGAAGTAAAGTATAAAGTTTTGGATTTTTTGAAAAATATGCCCGAATTAGAATTTGCATTTTTGGAAACAATGGCTTTTCATTTTTTTGATACAGCAACTAAGGAAGAACTTAACAAGAAAATAGAAAATACAATAATTCACATTTATCAAAACCCTGGAGACATTCATCAAAACTTTGTAGACAACAATTTCATTGATCAAAACCATTGAGACAATAATTTCGTTTACCAAAGCCCTGGAGACAATAATTACATTCATGTTCAATACTTTTCAAACTTCATATTTAAATAGCAACTTTTAATTAATACACAAAGCTTTTTTGGATAATAGCTACAGCTCGAACGCGACGTTGTTTAAACTTCAAAGCCAAAAATCAAAAAGTATAGTATTATTATTTTATTTTTATTTTGCAGATTAACTCAAAATCGTTCGGAGCTTTAGCTCTACACTCAATTACACCATAACACATGAGTTCTAGAATAATTATGATGGTCCTCATCATTTATTGTTGTTTATCTTCATAAAACTTTAATCTTTCTTCAACTTGATTTTTTAATGCTTCGCCAAACGTTGCACTAGTTTTTTCTGCCATATTTAAATTTAAATATAGAGTTACATGTGTATGTATATATGTATGTATGTATAAATAGATCAATTAAACAAATATAACAAATCAATATTAATTACCTGAAAAACAATCAATTCGTGAAGCAATTGAACATTTATTGGCCAAGAAGCGTGATATTCTACCCTTATTTTTTGCACCCGCTCTGCCGATAAATGATGAGTGAAATAAAAGACCGTATTTTGGGGTGTTTCCCTTAGTTTTAAGAGCTCTATTTTATATGTAATGATGTATATTTATCCGTGAATATATTATATAATCAAGTCAAATCGAATCAAATCAAAATAATTACCTAAATAGAGCCTTTTCAGCACCTAAAATTTGTACAGTCGATGCAGGATATTTTGATAAATTAGTTAAACTTCCAGCGTGTGAAATCAATCGAGCTCCAACTACTTCACCAATTAAAGCTGATAGATTTGGTGCGACATTATTCATTCTATCCAATAAATATTCACTTAAATGTTTACGATATTCAACAAGATCTATTATACAATCTGCAAAATGGCAGATATTTACCATGTCTAATTCAGCAATATCTGTACCCATTGATGAATGTGCTGCATCAATTATCTGTCTTGCTTTGTCTTCGTCATTAACAATTGGTAAAAGATCTTCCAATCTATCTTCAGTAAGATCGCTCTTGTTTCGAATAAATTTTGCAAGTTTTGCATATAAATAGTTATCATTCACAATTTTTACAAGTTCAGGAAAATGCCATGAATACCATTCCCTAATTTAAAATAAATCAGCGAACATTGTAACTATACATATACAACTTTTTAAAGAAATATCAATGTATAAAGTTTATTACCTCACGCGCATAGCAAATGTATTTATATCTTTATCTAATTGATCCAATAAAGATATTGCCTGAATAATCATATTATCAGCACGATTAACATTAAACTTTACTTTTGCCCTAGAATAGCTATGACCTAAACCGAGTTGTGCTTTGTGAAGCTCACCCCCTTTAACCTGACTCAATAATTTATCAGCATGTAAACGAATGCCGCGAATTAATTCAAGAACAAGTTCTCCAGTCTCACAATTATATCCTAATTCAGTTTTAATAGATCCCGCCAAACTTTTGTCAATGATACCTAATACAATGTTTTTCTTCTTTTTTGGTTTTGGAAGGTTCATTTCCAAAAAAGCTTTAAGAAAATCATTTACGACTCCTAATAATTTATTAATATGATTTATTCTCTTTTTTTTTTTAAAAAAAAAAATCATCACTATCATAATTTCTACCTTCTGATATATCGTTAGTATTTTCTAAAGCATGAACGGCATTCCTAAAAGGTGAAAAAGATTTGAGTTTAACCAATTTTCCGAATTTTACCAAATCTTCTGTTGCTTTTTGAACCTCTTCAAGTTTAGAACCAATTTCTTCTGTTTCTAATACTTCAAATAAAGCGTATCCAAAAGCTGTTTCAAATAGTATATAGTTCACCTTTAAAATATTATATATATATATAATTATTACTGATTTATTTATTGTATGAAATATTGTTATAAAACATACCATTATTATTATTTTATACGTGTATTTTTTTTTGCAGAATAAAAATTTCTTCCAGATCAATTAAATTTTTTCATTGGCTAGTTTTATCTATCCACAAAATCGATTTTTATTGGCTCGATGATTATTAACCAGACCACAAAAATAGTCTAATTCAAGGGATTTTTGTTTCAGGAAATTTTATATTTAAATCATATTACAATTGACAACGACTTTGTTTTAGAACTTTTTGATACTGTAATCACCATAATAAAAGTGTGTAAAAGGATGAGAAATAAGAGTATAAACAAATATTGTCAAGTGACTTTTTAATTAATTCACAGGATGAATATTCGGATATGTTTTTTGTAAATTATGACATCAACTAAAACTCCAAACTCACAAGGAGGAAGAAAGAGGCCAAAAAAAAAAAAACACAAAGAATATCTATCAAAAGCATAATTATATCAAAGATACCAAATTGGCTGGAGAGCAAAGAAAGGTTGTTGATCTGGATTATTCAATCACAAAAGATAAGACTATTGCACATTATAATTATGATCGAGCCCAAAATGGTCATGTACTATGTTTTGATAAGCAGATAGGATTCATTATCTCGGTTCTTGTAAAATACATTTATTTGGTATCCAGTACAAGAACAGATCAACTATGTTCTTGATGAAGATGAATTGGTAGACTCGGCATGGTCTTTGATTGAATTAAGAAATTGAATAAAGATGAGAGGCATTTAAAGATATAATTATTTGTATTTGGTAATTTGTATTTATTATGAAGGTATTAAACTAAATTTCATTACTCCAGGACGTACAAAATTCAGATGTGATGGCAGCTTTGGATTAAGTCTGGTTTGAAGATTTATTTTAAGAAATTAAATGGTATCCAAAACATCAAAATTTTTCTTTTTGAAGCTTCCAATCCTGGTATTGTGAAAGCACAGAAAGTTACCAATGGCCCATTTCATGAATTTGGACTAGGAGAATAGAGATTTCTAATATAATACACTTTTACTGACACCAATGTTATTAAATCACTGGAACACTAACAGCAGATACTATGCAGAATGGGCATAGTTTCTAAGCCAAACATGAGGAATTACATAAAGTAGTAAGTGAGATTAACTCAAAATTGCTTTTTTTGCAACTAACCTGATGACACTTTGGAATTTTTAGTAAAAGGGTGTGTAAGTTAGAACAGACTTCACATAAGATTATTGACAAGTATGTTTATGCTAAACAAACCAGTAAACAAGCTTTCCAAGGTGATAAGCAAAAATGAATTGAAAATCATATTTTACCATTGACAATATTATTTACTTTTTGCTTTATTTGGAATTGATTAATAACTTGAATTTTCAAAAGATTTTTACTGAAAAAGAACTCTCTTCTGAGGAAGAAGAAATAAAAAAAGGAGGAAAAGACCATGAATAGAATAGCAGAAATCATAAAAAAAGGAAAAGTAATTAGCAGGACAATTAGAAAAAAATGAAGATAAAGGCTCTAAGCATAGATTTTTCTCAGGTTAACTTACTGGCCATCAAGAATCAGTTCAATTAAAAAAAAAACAGATTAATTTATTGATTTTGATGAGCATAATAACAAAAACCAGATTTTATTAAAAAATAATGAATGAACTTGTTGGACCTGGAGAATTGCCTATTATTATTTTGCTTTAAATATTGAAAAAATCAAGCCCTCAAAGAAGCCTTATTACCAGTTTTTTGATACTTAACAAAACACTGGACTATTTAATAAGGAAGTGGATTTGTCAATTTGACCATTACCATTCACAAAACTGAAATAATATCACTACTTTTGCTTTCCCATTTAGTGTGGATGCAAAGAAATTCTTTTGGATAAATACTATTATTGATTTTCAGTTAATCGGTTTTATTAATTTTTTCTACTGATCCAAAAAAATGTAAATTCGATAAGTCGGTCACATGAGGCTACTGGCTTAATCGAGTGTGCAATTGTGATATAATTTTGATCCCTGAAATTTCTTTGTGGCACAATGTACATTGTTAAGTATGCCTTATGCTGTTCAATAATAATTATTTAAATTTTTAAATAATTTTTTCAATTATGGATTATCAACGACAATTACTTGAAGAATTGATGGCACCTTTTCAATCTTCTTCAAAGCACACTTTTTGGGATGATGCAGTGTGTAAACATTATTTAGTCAAGTTTTGTCCTAATTCTTTATTTACCAATACAAAATCAGATCTTGGTAACTATTATACATATTTTTTTTCATTTTTGTTTAAATACTTTAATAGTTGCTTATTTTTTTTTTTTAATAAGGTCCATGTACTAAAGTACATGATGAAAAACTTCGTCAACAGTTTGTATTTTTATATGTTGTATTATTATTGATTATATTATTTTTCTAATTATGATATATCCCTTTTTTTTAAAAAAATTTATAAATTAATAAAAAGATATCAAGAAGCAGCAGATCGTTCAAAGTATGGTTATGAAACCAAATTTTATGACTATTTGACAGTGTTATGTAATGATCTAGATAAAAAGATTCGTAAAGGAAATGAACGTTTAAATGTTCGTCCTGATGATACAGTAAGTTTATTTTTTAAGTGAAACATTAAATGAAATGATTTGGAATTTTATTGTCATAAAGATTCATGTGATTATTTTACTTTGATAGCTTCTGAATCCAAATAAAGATGAAAAAGAAGAGAAAATTATCATTCTAGATGAAAAAATAAAAGAATTATTGGTAAAGGTAAGTATTTGACAAATGATTAATAAATCAGTTGAATATGTATGTATGTATATGTATGTATGTATACATTAATTTGTATGCTTTATACTAAAATTAATGATTATTTTAATAAGATCGAAGAGGCAGGCGAAGAAGGCCGTGTACAAGAAGCACAAACATTAACCAAAGAAGTGGAATCACTTCAAAAAGATTTGGACTTTTTAAGAAATGTAAGTATAAAAGTATAGGAAAACTTATTTTACACATACAACAGAAAAAAAATTTTCTGCCAACTTAAAACATGTAGATAAGCAGAATCAGCAAGAAACATAACATTTGAGGTAACTCTATTGCCTAGTATATATATAGTCTCTAAATTGGATATATATATATATATATATATATATATATTTATGCATATATAATTTAGCTTCTCTTTTTTTTTAACACAAAAAAATTGCTAAAAAAAAAAAATCAAAGCTAACCTTATAAACCCAACTTTTTCACATTATTAAGATAATTTCTTTTTAAATTAAATTTTTTTTAAAGAAAAAATCATATATATATTATATATATTTATTATTTAATATTCAAAAAAAAAAATTTTTTTTTGAAAACTGTTATTTACAATTTTGCTTCCAGTCACTACATACATACATGCATACATATTGAACAATGAAAGTAATCCCAGGAGAGAGACTTTACAAAAAAATCGGTAGATTTTCAAAATTTTTTAAATCCCCTGTTCACTAACCATTATTATTTCCAAATCTATTTCATGAAAACCAATCAATTCTCTATATCTCTACGGACCTTCTCCTCTTTCTGATTTTGACTTAAAACAATTAGAGCGATGACTCAAATCCACTATTTAAACAAGAAAGAAGAATGCTGGTTTGTGATGTTTGTGGAGCTTTTCTAGTGACTAATGACACTTCTAATCGGATGGATGCACATCTGCAAGGAAAACAACATAAAGGCTATAAACAAATTCGTGAAACTCTTCAAGAATGGAAGGTAACGAATGCTATTATATTAATATTCATTATTTAATATGCTATTTTTTAATTGGAAAATTGACTTTTTTAGCAACAGAGGTCATATTCATCACGAGAACCAAATCAGAGAGAACATCGACGAGATTCATATAGTCGACATGAACCATATCCCCGTAATCCTCCACCACGTAGAGAAAGACATAGGGATAGAGATTATAGACGCGATGAAAGAGATTATTATGAACGAAGTCATGATGACCATAGTCATAGGAGAAATAGTCATGAATCTAGACGTGATAGAGATGATAGAAGTCATCGGCATCATGATGATTGAAAAATAAATTTATTATTTTTAATTATTTTATAGGTACTTGAAAAAAAAAATAGATGAGAATTAATTTTTTTAATTAATCATCATTTTGGTATTATTATATTTTATCCTTTAGTATAAAGCATTAATCCTTGCTGGTTTATGAGGAAAATGTAATAACAATATATATATTTCACAAATAAATATAAACTATATTAATAGGTATATTATATACATATATATGGCTTATGATGAATTTTGGGGTGGATACGAAATTTCGATTAACTAACTTGATACAACATAAATATATAATAATAATTTTTTTTGTATTCTATTAAATTGGTTTTAAATAATTATAATTATCTAACCCTCCCTTCCTTTTCTCATTATCCATCACCATCTGATATACTCATTTTACTATAATCAACAATGTAAGAATCTATCAATAATTTTTCAAATCCTTGGGAATGTCTCAGAATATGGTAATCATCCATCTATTAACTATATAAAATAAAAATTATAAAAAAAATTATACATTTATTTATTTATATATATAATCTCCGATTTCTAATAATTGGTTGAATTAAAATTCCTTAATGGAACATTTAAAATTTTTTGAATTGGTATTCCAATCTTCTTTTTCTAGATTAATATACCATCTATTGTTTAATCTTGTTATACTGTTAGATAAAGAACAATTGGTTCATAATTTGCTTGAATAAATTTAATAACCTGTGAGGTTGATCCAAACTAAATTGCAAGTAATATTGAATTTTCGCTAAATTACATACTTTAGTATTAATTCTTCAGTAACATCTTTCTAATGGGGCTTTTCTAGGAAAAACTGGACACGAGACCCCCTGGTCAAAATTGGTTTAACAAAAATTTCTTTCGGATTGATCTATACACCCCATTTTTAGGTTACACGAAAAATTTAAGTTTTTAATTGATGATCCGGCTTATTATTTGAGTGCCAGGATTTTTGAGCCAATCAAAATAAATTTATGATTTTGAATCATAAATTTAGAATTATACAATATTTGGTTTATATTAAAAAAGGTGGTGGTAGTGATTATTGATTAGAGATGTTAATCAGTCCTGAACAGTCCAGCTCAGTCCTGGGACTGGCAGTCCCATCTTGGGACTGTACCAGACTTAAGTCCCAGAAAGAGTCCGCACTAAATGTAATGGAAAAAGGGTGAGTACATCCTCACACGGATATGTTATGTAATCACAAATGTGTAAGGTTCTTAATGCTTACGAAATTTCTGTTGTGTCATTCCATGTGAGTTTTTTATGATCATTTTTTAGATCATGTACAGTCTACTCTCTCTATAACGACCCTCTCTATAACGGCCACTAAGTAAAATTTCTCTATAACGAACTTCCCTTTTGTCCCCGTTTCAATTTTTTATAATTAATTTCTCTCTCTATAACGACCATCTTAATAAACTCTCTCTATAACGACCAAAAGCAGAGAAATTACATATAGGGACAGAGGGTTCGTTATAGAGAGTGTGAACTGTATTAATCTTAATTGATATTTCTTGAACCTTGAAGAAACATCTATTGTTTCTACTACCCACTGAAAATAAAATAATAATAATAATAATAAATAATAAATTGTACAATTAACAAAATACAAAGTTTCAATTTAACATATACTTTAACATCACACTCTTGTCGTATTTGTTGTTCTATTAAACCATAATCAAATGTCAGGATTTCACTTTCACTAGTATCGGTTTCACTTGTGCTTGGCACATTCGATTGTTGGATCCGTGCTTGATTATTCTCGTCATCTTCATCTTCGATTTCACCTTCAGTTTGTGAAAAATTTAATCAGAATTGTTGCAAGAGATTGCAATTATTGAAAATATTCAAGAAAAAAATTTGATTTTCATGCAACAAAACCTCTTCTAAACTAAGAAATGCAATAATACAAATGTAAATTATTAATTAAACTAGAATGACGACAAATTGCAATGACCGCAATTACCAATACCGTTCTTTTTTTAAAACTAGAGTGACAACGAATGGCAATAACCACCATTCTTTTGATAAACACTTTACTCGCTTCTTCCAAGTATGCTAGTTTCTTTATCTCTTTTGTTAATCGTAAATGACATTTTTTATTTTTAAAAGAAAGAAAAAGAAGACAAATTTTATTTGATCGGCAAACACGTCATTAATATAAAATTTCGGATGCAAAGTGAGCTTGATTAATTCACATCATTTTTTTCAATTTGTAATCAAATAAAGTTTATTTAGAATGATTTATTTCACAAAATAAAAATGTGCTAATTCACACAATGAGTTTAAAATATTTAAAATTTAAAATGCTTATAAAAAATAATAAAAAATTAATTTTTTTGTAGTTTAGATAGTATTATCATCATTGTCAATATCTACATTTATATCTTGAACTTCAACTTCATCCTCTTGGTTCTCGACCACAAGATCTTCATTGTCTTGATAATAGCACATTGGTGTTTTACCCTTGTTATTATTAACTTGATTTATTGCATCGCCAATATCTCTGGTCTTGGCATATTCAAGGAAGCATCAGAGCACATTTTCTTGATTGTCACTTCTTCCTTGTTGCTTGGCTTTCATGATCTCTTACCTTGATGATGATGAGTTTGATGATGTTGCTAATGTGTTTATCGATGATAACTCGTGAGATTTTTTACCAATGATCTGCTCTTAAATTTCAACAAATCATCATTCTTTCTTTTGACTCTAGTTGTCGTTGATGATTTTGCATGATGTTCCTTCCCACAAACAGCTCACCCCGCTACTGAAAAGACCGCTGATGATTTTGTTGCATCGGCTACTGCCGAATGTCTGCCATTTGAGACAGTATATGTACGTGGGATCATTACTTTGTTGGATGTGCTGGTGAATGAATTGTAGGTGTTCCTTTCCATTATGAAGAAGTTTTGTTCTAGTTCACCCTTTGGCTTGGCCTTTTCTTTACAAGGAGAAGAAAAGTACCGAACAGAGGTCTATTAGTAGATCATGCATGTTGGGCTCCTTGTTCAAAGTTTTTAGGTCCAAGTTTATTGCTTGAATGACAGTTACCTATACAAAAAAAAAATATCATTTTTTAAATCTTTCATTTATTTATCGAAATAATAATAAATGATTATTAAAAAAAACCATTAAGAAATCTTCCAACCATCATCATAATGGAATCTTCCTTAATTTCTTGGATCATTTCTTCAAAAGTTCTGTCGAAACGCCTTAAAATGTAACTTTACAAATTCTTTATCGTCTACTCTGCTATATGCAACACATGTATAAACATTTGCACCGCTTACAGTTTTTATAAATTCAATAGATGTTAAAATAGATGCCATCGTTTAAAAATAGATTTATTGTTGTAGCAGCGTTAAAATCAAAGGCGTTTGAAAATAAATATCAAAATTTATTGAAAATTGAAAATAAAAAAAATAAAAAGATGTTGAATTGTCAGTTATTTTTATTGAAAAATTTATTACCATTATTAATGATTATCACTAATAACAACAATAAACATTTTATCAATTATAATTGTTAATGAATGCACGCGCGCGTATCCATGAACTCGTTATCGTATAATGTTATCTGTACCAAAGAAAAATTAGGTCGTAAATTTTAGCCATAATTTAAAAGATATTGTTTATCGTTTTAAAAAAAATAATAATAATATTCTAAATAACTTTAGTTGCGCAGCTGCAGGACAGAAAAACGATTTTCGGATCTTTTTTATTTTTACTCAAGAATAATAAAAAGCAATAATTTTTTTAATAATTCCTAGCCTCAAAATAATCAACATATTTTTTTATTCGACTATATAATGAACCATTGTTCGAATAAAATAAAAATTGGGGGTGCGGAAGTTCATTGCAATATCGTTGCAAATAACAGGCAAGGCAATGGCAAGGCACTTGCAATTACAAAGAACTCTTTTAATAAACAAAATATTTGCCGCACGACTCAAAATTCGCTTTATAAAGTGAAAACGTTGATCGCACCAAAAACCAAACAGAACTTAACGCAAAAAGAAATTAATTTGCAAAATCGACAAAAAATTACGGAATTTAGAAAAAGACGGCAAATTTTCTTTCTTTCATTTGTGTTATAATTAAATAAGATCACAGAGGTTGTTATTCCCCGTGATGGCCCGCGTGACCTACCTCCAATAAAAATATATAAATAAAATAAAAATAATGCGTTCTGGCATATACATTAAGGGCATTGACATATATTAGCTAATATTTTAGGGGGTGGGGGATAACAGAAAATCTTAGGTCACACATAATCTCATAAATAACGTGATCATAATGGCTTCAGTGAAAGATCAGTTTTGAATGTAACTGTTTTAATTTGGGAATAATCTACATGTAAACCAATTGTCATTTACAAAAAATGGTATTACACTTTTTGTCTACAGGATGATATGGCAGTTAATTCTCACATTCTCATATACATAAATGCTATAATTAATCATACTTTATCTGATATACATTTCCTTAAATATATTTTGTCGAAAAGAGGTCACTTTTGTTGTGATTGAGAGGAGAGAAATCATCAAGAATCCTTGAGTTTTGTTCTTTAGATTTCTCTTTAGCAGGATGCATTGTTTGTAATTTTCAAATAAGCAAAAGTTATTACACTCAGAACCAAATAGGTTGTTTTGTCAAAGAAATAGCCAATGCAAATTATACCCAGGAATTCCAAGA